GAGCTCTAAGATCACACAACTGGCTGAGAACTGGCTAGTAACTCAGAGTTCACCTCATCTGGCCTCTTACCTAATGAAAAATTGTCTCCATTGTGACCCTAAGGGATGGCCACTCAGTACCCACTGAAATGCTTTGGTGATGGGGAGCTCACTCCTTACCGGTAGATAGGTCTATTTCACTGCTGGAAACTTCTGGTTCTTAGAATGTTCTTCCTTATACTGTGATTTTCGGATGTCCCTAGACTTTCCTTTCAAAGGAAGTCTTTTATTCTAACAATAATATTGTCAGAAAACCAGTTCGTACAGAAGATAAATCATTAAACTTCCCACTTTGAAATGTTCAGTGGGTGGTGGCACTGCAAATTCCCAAAAGCTAACTCCTAAACCAACCACAAACCAATTACTCCATCCACCACATTAGATCTCTGGAAATTAGAGGTGCCAAAAGCACACATTAGTCTGAGCTCCTGTTATGGAAAGTGTTGTGTGTTCTGGATTCTCAGTGTAGGCAAAGTCTTAGATTGAAGTTTTAAGAAGTTATATCAGAATTAATAGTAATATTTTTGTTATAGACTAGAAATTTAATAGAAACCATTGAAAATTGAGCTTAAAATGCCTAATTCACTGTAATTTTGGATAATTAGTCTTGCTTTGTTCTTGGCCAATATTTTGGTATACTTTTGCTTATTACAGAAACTTTACTTTGGTGGGCACCTGGGTGGCCCAGTCGGTTAAGTGTCTGACTCTTGTTTTGGGTTCAGGTCATGATCTCAGGGTCGTGATATCGAGCCCTGGGGTGGGTTCCACACTGGGTGTAGAGCCTGCTTAAGATTCTCTCTCTCTCTGGGGGTACCTGGGTGGCTCAGTCGGCTAAGCATCTGCCTTCAGCTCAGGTCATGATCCCAGGAGCCTGGGATCGAGCCCTGAGTCGGGCTCCCTGATCAGTAGAGAATCTGCTTCTCCCTCTGCCCCTCCCCCTGCTTGTGCTCTCTCTCTCTCAAATAAATAAATAAAATCTTTTTAAAAAAATTCTGTTTCCCTCTGCACCTCCCCCCACTCTCTCTCTAAAAAAAACTTATATATATATATATATATATATATACATTTTTTCCAAACTAGCTATTTTTTGTTACATTATTGTGCCTCTTTTCCCTTTAAATTTGAGGGTGTCATTGAAAGTTTTGGGGTCACCTATAGGAGAGGGGCCTTGGGAATCCCAGGCTGCAGTGTGCAAGGGGACTTTTGAGATAGGGTGCTTATACACCTTGCTTTGCCACACAAAGTTGTCTAGTTTAACATGTCCTGGCAAAAATATCCCAATTTTTACCCTTAATTATGCGGTCTCTCTTCTTAAAAGTTCACTTTGTTCAATATTCTCCTCTTAGATGAGAATTGAAGACCAGAGAAATTGAGTGACTTTCAGAAGATGTCCAGAGCAGGGTGGTGACAGAGGAGAGCCTGTAACCACCACACCCACCTGTAGAAATGACAGTCGTTCTGTCAGCGGATCAGGCTCCCCTTTCTCCAGTGAGCATTCCGTTTCTGGGGCACAGCTTGTGAGACCCTCCCAGGCAGATTGGAGTGTGTCGGCCAGTTATAAAGGCGGTCCTAGCAGCAGCCAGGGGATGTCCGTGAACGGCCCCATCTGCCCTAGGTGTTCCTTACCCCCAAAAGGACAGCATTACCTCATGCCTGGTTCCTCCTCCAGTCTTCCTTTTCAATGAAAAAATCTTATTTTACAAACATTTGTCACCATCTGAATCACCCCCAAGTTCTCTACATGTTTATTTCCTCAGGTAACTCATGTCAGAAAATACATTCTTCCAAAGGTGTGCCCATATATTTTTGTATGTAAACATTAAAAAGAGAACTGGCTGGGGGCGCCTGGCTAGCTCAGTTGGTGGAGCATGTGACTCTTGGTCTTGGTGTTGTGAGTTTGAACCCCATATTGGGTGTAGCGATTACTTAAAAAAAGATAAGAGACGAAGAAAAGGAAAAGAAAAGAAGAAAGAAAAGGAAAGAAAATGGAATAAAAAAGAAAATTGGCTAATGATATTGGGCTGGAGAGATGAACAACAGTGGCCAGAATGCCAGGTATGAATGACAAAATCACGTTTAAGCTTCGAGACAATGTATTACTGGCGAGTAAGTCACTCAAGGTGGGGTCCCTAGTTCCTGTGTCATTAATAGGGCAGAAGGTCTCATTTAATTAAACAAATTTTAGCCTTCGGGCAGAAGCCTAAAAAGAAATCACTTCTGTTTGCTGATAGTTTCTTCCTCTTTGCCCTGACTTGGATTAATAGCAGGAGTTTGATCTTTGTTACAACATTGACACTTACGCGCGAATACACAAGGCCCAACAGCGGTGGGCGGTCCTCACCAGGAATGGGGAAAGCAGGAAACTTTCTTCAACACCTCCTTACTTTGTGTTGAGCCAGCAACTTGAGGCTGTTTCCCAAAGCTGCAGGGAGGCTGTGTTAGTGGAGAGGGAACCTGGGAAGGAGTGAGTCCTCACCCTGCTCCTAAGAGCTCTAACTGGGACCAGAATTGTCCAGCGATATCGCAGGCATTGCTTAAAGACTCAAAAGGGTGTTGTGTGCATTTCACAGGCCTCTTTATTTGTCCAAATCCATTCAAATACAAGATTTGTATATATTTAGAAGGCTTGGTTCTTTAAATGATCACCGAGGATTAAAAGAATCCTGGAACCTCCAAGCCCCTGCTGGGTTACTAACTTACAGGCTGTTGTGAGGGCAAATTTTTTCAACTGCTCGACCTTCCATTGCCAATGGAAATAAGCATAGAATTGGCTTCTTTTCCGAGATCTAATTAGAATTATACTTCCCAACTGGTGGTAGAATAAACACCAAGTTACATGTGGCTTTGTGCAGGCCATTTTCTCTGTCTGCAAAGCTTTACCATCACCTGCCATGGGTCAGGATCAAGCGCTTGATCTCCCCGGATGGAAGTTATCAGCGCCTCTCCTGAAATCCGACAGCACTTTGTCTCTACCACCTAAGGTTTATAGCCTCACAGGCTGTGTACCTTATTTCTCAAGTAGAAAGCAAACTCTTTGAAAGAAGAACTGTGTTTTATGCATCTACACATCTCTCAAATAACATAATGCTCTGGTTGGCATATAGTAGGTGCCTAGGACATATGTCTTAAATAAAAGGATGGTAAATAGAAAATGCTTAATTATAAGAGAGGTAAATACTCTTTATTTCCTCTGAGGTTATTTTTCTCTTTAAATCTACGTCGTTCTGACATGAACTAAAGGAGGGTTCAAAGGAACTTTCTCTCAGGTGCCTTCACAGGGTCTGGAAGCTGGGGGTTGTCCTATGAAAACTAGAAATAATTCAGTTACTTGAGGTCATTTGGACAGCTCCTCATCCCCTCCCCCCCACAAAACCCATAGCGAACCCATATTTATCTGGTTGTTTGTTCTTCTCTTGACTGACTGTAGTTGAACTGGTGTGTATAACTTGGACACGTAAGATCTGGAAGATATTCTCAGTCCCTCTCCCTCAGTAAGCAGAAAAATGACATTGTTACATATATTTTAATCTTTTGCATGATGCTTTTTACCTGTTCCTTCTTGTTTTATTCTCTTGTCAGTCTTTTAGGTAAGACTAGCATTTTTACCCTAATTAGACAATTACGCATCATGATGCACTAATTTGTTAACCTATGTTCACAAATCATTTAATTACTACTGCTGGCTTTGATGTGCTGTTATTATTCAGTTATGGGAGTAAATAATTCGACAGCTAACAGGAAGAAACTCATTATTTTCCGGGAGATATTGTTGTTATTTTCAGTGTTTTAAAAATACTTTAATCAAAACTTAAAAAAAAAAACCACTTTAATCAAAACTTTTAAGAAATCTGACATAGTGCTTTATAATCGTAGTAAATAAACAGAGTATTCACTGCTTTAATATAAACAATGATTTGGGGGCTAAATACTAGCTCCTGAATTTCCCGATGAATAGATTTCTTGAAAGAAAAAAAAAAAGAACTTTTTTTTCTTTTTCCTTCATGACAGTTCACAATCTCCCGTGATGGTGTAATTTATAAAATGCAGCTTCTAATATTGATTTGTGAGGCACTTGATGGCCGGAGATAAAAGGAGCAATTTCCTTCCTATTCGGTGCTGTTGCTCAAACTTTCTTGATCTTCTAGTGCTGTTAATTCCATCTGGTAAGCACCTTAGCTCACTGCCACATCCCTGTAGGCACTTCTGGGTTCTCTCCGTACCTCTCTGATGAACAGAGAAACCGGGCTGCCAGGTGCAAACTCCCATCAGATTTTACTTCTGCTTCTGCTGAGAGTTTGCATCCAGGATCAATAATACCGTTATGCATTTATGTGCAAACATCACAATTACTCTAAGCAATTAAGTTCTTACCGTCTCTGTACTCCTCCAGTAATAACATATCCTGAGGAAGGGGCATGCCTGTCATATTATTAAGAGATAACTAGGTGAACCTTGTAATAATATTATTGACCCATACTGTTGCCATTTCTCAGAGAGCATATACATGCTCAGACTGTTATTTATCTTCCTGTGAATTTCTCCGGGGCTAAGCCTGTGCCCTCTACCTCTTAGCATCTCTGTACCCGAAAAGTACCTAGCACACAGCAAGTGGGCTGTCAAAGGAATGTTTGTGGTTGGTGTGCAATAAAAGTGATTCAGTGAATAAAGTAACCTTTCTCCTAGTAATCCAAGGTGTGCATAAAATTGTTCCTTATGTTCGTTCCTGTTATGCTCAAATACCCTCTTCCTAAACTTTTCCTGAGACTTTTAGGTTGGCACTGCCTGCTTCCTTGGACTGGAAACTCACTTTCCAATGACAGAAAACCACACCAAATGAACGCTAATCCAAGGCGTAGAAATGTAGACCTTCCCTACGTCCCTTCTGTTAGGATTAAGGAAAAGCTGATCCAGTGGTATTTTTGCATTCTTTTATCCCCTAAGGGTCTGTAGCCCACACTTACCTTCAGACAGCTTGCATCTTCATTTCCCCCAGAACAGAACTAGCAGGGAGAGGTGAAGGGAGCCATCTAAGTCCTGAAGATTTTGATGGGAAAACTAACACCCTGTCTGTGTTCAGTGACATTGGGTATAACCCCTTTATGACAACAGCAGAGTAACAATGCTGTGATTCCTCCTGATGAAAGCATGGAAACCAGGCTGCCTTACCAAACACAATGCTGGGGCAGCCTGGAGGCACGGGGAGTGCTGTGTGCTGCTCATCTAGCTAGTGAGGTGCTGGTATTTCTGGAAAGTCTAAAAGCCTTCTTTGTTGGAAATAACCGACCCCTTGGAATTGTAGTTGAAAACATCTATTTTTTAAAGATTTTATTTATTTATTTGAGAGAGAGAGTGTGTGAGAGTGAGAGAGAGCATGAGTGGGGTGAAGGGCAGAGGGAGAAGCAGACTCCACACTGAGCAGGGAACCCCATGTGGGCCTCGATCCCAGGACTCCGGGATCATGACCTGAGCCAAAGGCAGATGCTTAACTGACTGAGCCACCCAGGTGCCCCAGAAACCTCTTTAAATGACGCTTTTGTAAGTTCATGAGCCACAGCTTAAAAGAAGGGGACACCATCCTTCCTGATTTGGTCATCTCACTTGGGCTTTTTAAGAGGAGGGCCAGACGCACATGGCCTTGAGACGGCCTCATCAGAGAAGCCTAACAACCCGCTCTGGCCCCTCCTGTGTCCCCTTCTTCCCCACCAGCTCTTCCTCCCAGGATCCTGATTTGAGGGCAAACAGTAGTATCAAAATATTTGACCAATCTCTTCTCCGAGTAAGGGAATGTTGTTTTTGTCTTGTTTTGTTTTTAAAGATTTTTATCCATTCATTTGACAGAGAGAGAGCGTGCACGAGCAGGGGGAGTGGTAGGCAGAGGGAGAGGGAGAAGCAGGCTCATGGCTGAGCAGGGAACCCGGCGTGGGACTCTATCCCAGGACCCCGGGGCCATGACCCGAGCCGAAGGCAGACACCCAACCGACTGAGCCACCCAGGTGCCCCTTAGTAAGGGAACGTTAAAGAAATAGGGAACAGCTCTTACCTGGCCCGTAAATACAATTAAAATGATTGCTTCAGCTGATAAGATCTAGTTGTCCTCTCTTTTTCAGTAAAAGAGAAACACCTAACCAACTACGTGAATAAATGAAACCGACTATATGAATAAACACTAAGTATTAATAAATGTAGACACAAAATTATTCTGGGTGTTATGAGGTGAGGAACATTCATGATTCTTTATTCTTATTTATTTATTTATTTATTTATTTATATAATGGGGTTTTGACAATCTCCTGACTGTCATTTTCAATGTCATAAGCTGATTTGTAGTTAGGTCTTACCTTGGAAAGTGCTTATGTTTGGAAACTTTTCATAGATTAACTGAATTAGCTAGAGAATTTACTAAATCTCTTGGTCTCAACTCAGCTGAAAAATCTGCTTGCCACTGAAGAATTTCCCTCTGATCTACAAATTTGTCTGACAGTGTCAACAGGGAGAGTTACTTGTGGAAGAGGGACTGAGATTGAGTCCACATATCTGAACGCTTAGAAAGCCACGTGGTTAAAAGGCAGGTCTCCACCCCTCTGCCCCTCTGGCATTCTGATTCAGTGTCCTCTTTTGGGTTCTACCAAAAGCAGAGCCTTAAACAAAGATTTTAGAATTTAGAATTTATTTGAGAGGTAATCCCAGTAGCACACTGGTGGGGTCTGGAGAAAGGAGGCAGGGAAGGAAGGAAAAACCAATAAAAGGTATGTTAGTGAGAGGGTTATCACTGTGGGCTACCGGACTCGACCCCAAGGGGACTCGAGAGACCGCGGGACACACACTTCAGAATTCTCCCACCAATAAGCAAGGAAGGTGGAGTACTTATCCACTAGCTCCTGTTCCTCATTGATTGAAGGCTGCTCCTAGAAGCATTAACTCCCTGACACTTCTGGCCTGCCTCGGGGCTGCACACAACATGCTTCTGTGACCAAAGAAAGCCATCAGGCAGAAAATCACAGAGGTATGGAGATGGGAAGCTGCCTATGTGCATGGAGCTGATCATAGAAGCTGCAGATAAAGGAGAATATATGGGCAGGGCACCGACAACATCTCCTATCACCAGGATCTCTGGAGGTAGGGCTTGGGAATCTGTATTTTTAACCTCAGATGATTCTGATCCTCATAAAATTTGAGAACCACTGATCTAAAATGCAATCTGATCATGCTCTACTCCTTTTGGAGAATCCAAAGCCCTTAGTATGGCATAAAGAGTCCTGCAGGGTCAGGTCCTACCTCTATGGTTACATCTCCTACTCCACAATTTTCCTCCCCAAACTCTGGATCCAGCCATCAGATTACTTGCACTTACCTGAAACCCACGATGTTTTATACTTCTGCCTTGTGCTCAGAACATTTCAGCTTCAAGTAACAGAAAACTTAACCAACAATGGCTAAAACAAATAAGGATTTATTTTTCTAACACTGCAAGAAGTCCGGAGATGCACTGCTGTTGACATTGGTTCCATGGCTCAATAAAGTCAAGGCAGAAGTCTGATTCTTTCAGATTTGCCTTCATGGTCCCAACTGGATGCTGCAACTCCAGGTATCATGTTTGTATTTAGGTCAGGAAGGGGCAGCACCAACTCAGCAAAAGCTTTCCCAGAAGAACCAGCAGAGTTGTTCTCTTAATGCTTCATTGGCCAGAGCTGTGCCACATGGCTACCCTGAGCAGCAAGGAGGTAAGTAGATTCTTCAGCTATTACAGGCTCTATAGAGGAGGCAGAAAAGGTGGATGAGGATTGGAAAGTTGGAAATGGGATTAGGTTACTCTTTTCTCATCCTATTTGCCCAAGGAATACCTATCTAACTTTCAAGGTTCATATTTCCCCTAATATTTAATTTTGAAAATTTTCCAACTTTCAGAAGAGTTGAAAGCAGTATGTTGTGTACACCTGCTGACCCACTACCTGGCTTCTACACTTGATATTTTGCTGTATTTGCTTTAACACATCTCTATCTATGCATTCCCCTTATCCATCCATCTAATCCAGCTTATTTTCTGGATACAAATCAAACTAAGCTGCAGATATCAGTATACCTCCCCCCAAATACTTCATCATGTATGTCATTATGTAGAGTTCAGTATAGAGTTTTTTGAGGTGAAATTTACGAGCAACGAAACGCACAAATCTTAAGTGCACCGTGCGATGAATTTTGACAAATGCATGTATCTGTATAGCCAAATCCCTATCGAGATGTAGAATATTACCAACGCCACGGGAAATTCTGTCATGTCCCTTCCTAATCAAGGGAAGGGACCACCGTCCCCCCAAAGGCAACTACTGTTCTGCTTTTTTTCATAACAGATTAGTTTTGCTTGTTCTAGAACCGTACCGTATGAATCAAAGTAAAGTCTTTTTATGCAAAACTTAGGACACTTTCAGATGCTTAAGAATTGACTCCTTTGGTGGTGGGGGGTGGGAGGGATGGGGTGGCTGGGTGATAGACATTGGGGAGGGTATGTGCTATGGTGAGCGCTGTGAATTGTGTAAGACTGTTGAATCACAGATCTCTACCTCTGAAATAAATAATACATTATATGTTAAAAAAAAGAAGAAGAAGAAGAAGAAGGAGAGAGCAGGAGGGGAAGAATGAAGGGGAGGAAATGGGAAGGGGAGACGAACCATGAGAGATGATGGACTCTGAAAAACAAACTGAGGGTTCTAGAGGGGAGGGGGGTGGGGGGATGGGTTAGCCTGGTGATGGGTATTAAAGAGGGCACATTCTGCGTGGAGCCCTGGGTGTTATACACAAACAATGAATCATGGAACACTACATCAGAAACTAATGATGTAATGTGTGGTGATTAACATAACATAATAATAAAAAAAAGAAAAATACTTAAAAGCCATTTATAATCCCACCCTTGGTCATGACCCCTTTTAACATTTTGGTATTTTTCTTTCCAGTTCTTTTTTAATATTTACATAAACTTTCTTTTTTCTTTATTTTAAATATATATAAATAAAATATAAATACATATAAATAAATATAAATATCTCTATATATACATAAAAAAAAGAATTGACTCCTTTGAATATCTGCTGTGCATGCACAGACTTCCAAAATAGTAACTCTAACATTTTTCCTTCACATATTATTTACCCATTTATTTTTCCCTTGTAGTGTGTGATTCCTTCAAGGGCAAAGATCCTTTCTATTAATCTTTGTGTTCTTAGTACAGCTCCTGCAGACATTTAATAAACGTCTGTTGAATGAGTTGATGAGGGAATAGATTAAAGTTAACTGGGTTGTAGTAGGTTAGTAGCAAATTTTAGTTCATTTCCCTTCCTTTTGTAGAGCCCTTTTCATTTCATTTCATTTCATTAGAGTTAGCTGGATGGGCAACTGTCTTTTTTTTTTTTTTTTTTAAAGATTTTATTTATCTGTTTGACACAGAGAGACAGTGAGAGCAGGAACACAAGCAGGGGAAGTGAGAGAGGGAGAAGCAGGCTTCCCGCCAAGCAGGGAGCCTGACGCGGGGCTTGATCCCAGGACCTTGGGATCATGCCTGAGCCAGAGGCAGACACTTAACGACTGAGCCACCCAGGCGCCCCGGCAACTGTCTTTCCTTCTAGTTTTGCCCAGCTTAGGCCTGGTTGTGCCTTAGTCAACTTTGTAGCCAGTGTTTGGCACAGTACCTGGCACGTTGTGTACATTGCTTGGAAGGTCCGAATGAGCCCCGGGACTGTTCATTGTATGGCTGCGTTCCTGATGATTCTCCTTAGTAGGTCCTTTCTCTTAGTAAGGGGATCCAAAAATCTTTGGTGAGAATGGGAAGATGAGGTGATGCTTCGTTTTCCATGTATCACAGCTCCGCAGTTGGTGGTCTGGACTGTGTGGAGCAGACAGAGTGGGTCTTTGCTGAGCCTTGAACATAAAGCCCTCTTCCTTGGTCCATTTACTTGTGGGCTAGGACCCCCGTGCTGGTAATGCATGCCAGAGTGCTAACTGACCTCTCAGATGGGGCTGGTAAGGGCTCCCACGGAGGCTTGC